TAATGTTTGTGTGGAAGAGGTGGCTTGGATGAGTGTTTGTGGGAATCAAAGAAAAAGGCTGACACATAGCCTTTAAACAAACTTACTCCTTGCGTGAGTGTGGTGTTTGAGAATTGTCCTTTGTAAGAACAAACTCTTATGAAGTAAGAGATTCTATAACTTACTCTAAAAGTTAATAGAATAAGATTTTAGGAAACAACGTATTTTCTGGATATTTCTAATTTATGATAGCAATTCAGTATTGAGGTGGCAAATACTACATTCTGTAAGACCATTTAGCAGAAAATCCCTGGGGGGAAAAAAAGACAAAATCAAACCAATTACTTTTATCAACTTGCTCAGGACTTTTCCATAAATATTTTTACTTGTACTTCAGCAGCCTCGGAGCTTGGATTTTAGCTGTATTTATACTTTTGTTGCCCCTGCCCCACTTTTTCAGCAGGTTGTCTTCTCTCTATTTAATTGAGGCTGCTTCTGTCTCACCCACATTCAGTGTCAGCTCCTCTACTGCTGTCATCCTATGTTTTTATAAACTCCCTTTCCCCGTATTCTGTCCTATTTCTTCTTTATTTTTTTTCCCAAGAAATTGGTCACACATGGTAGAATGGACTCAGGATATTAAGATGAGATAAGAGGATTTACCAGACAAAAGAGTGGGACCAGATAAAAGATGAGTCACTGTCATTCTTAAAATGGAGCCAACAGAACTGGGAAAGAACAGGTTTTTGGTTTAAGCTGTTTTTAATACCAAAAAAACCTTTGTTATAACTTTGTTTTTTCCCCACAATGTTTTTCTTGAAGTATGTTGACTAATATTGCCAAATTATTGCCAAACAGTCTTATTTGCTGCTTTCAAACCAGGCCTTGTAAGTACAATGCACCTGATGGCTTCAGTGGCCTCCTGATGGCTTTAATGTGCTGTGACTTCTGAATTCCCATGAAATCACGTTTATCTATGTAAATACAACTAAAATCCTTTGCTCATGGTTGCACTGACACACAGCATTTTTACCTGAACCCTTGCACCTGGCACATGGGAATGCACCAAAGTATTTTACCTTGCATTTTATTGTGTTTCCGCATTTTTAAAATCCCTTTTTCTTCGGTGGGAGAGGATGTGTCGGGGGGATGATGTAGCAGATCTCACTGTTTCCTATTGGAGTGGGTGAGACTTCTCTGGTAAATGACGTGAGTATATGGTAAGTACCACAGTGGGATCAGTGACATCACTGCTCTGTGCCAATGGGAATGTTGATGGTGACTGAACAATGAAAACCCAGACTGACATTGAGGAGAAAATGTGATTCACCACGAATTTATCCCCAGGTATTGAGATGGCCATGAGATAACATCTGCAAGTCTGTATAATTAACCAATATAAATGTAAAGAGCTTGAAAAATAATTTTCACTGTCATCTAATCTTTTTCTGTGATTTCTTTTGCTTGCCCAGCCAAGAAGCAGGTGATCAATCAGGTAGGAATTGCCAATGGCTAATGAATAGTAGTCAGATGAATAGTTTGTAAATAACCCTTAACTTGAAAGCTGCTTTTCTAGAATATCTGATGATTTTTTACAAATTTAAATGTATTTTGTCTGTTTGATGAACATACAGATACATATTTATACATGCACAATTGATATGCCTTGTATGAATACACAGATAATCCAGTCTGAGAAAGTGACATTTGAACAATTGCAGTTTGGATGAGCAGTAATTGAGGAATTTAGCATAGATTAGCATAGTTATACAAGATTTCTACAATTATAAATTGATGGTGTACAGTTTCCATACTTTACTCTTTTAATTGACAGAACAATTTGGGACTGATCTGTCTAAAGGACCTGCTTTAATTTTTTCGGGTGATTGGCTCTTTCTTTTTGCCAGTCGTTTCAATCTGATTAGCTATTTCAATTTAAACATTTTAGTATAAGAGTTTTTCTAATAAGAAAATATTAATTGCTAAACAAACAGTCTGCAATAACAAAACACAATTTACTGAAAATTTGCTTCCATTAATAAAATTTTCAGAGAATTTAAATATTCACTGAATCTCTAGTCCTTGTGCAGCAGTTTTCAGGGAAAATCTCTCTATGTAACGGTTCGACTTAAGGAAAGAGAAGAATCTCACACAAAATAGGCATGTGAAATAGAAGGTTTTAAACTATTTTGGCAAAGGCAAATATCCTAAGAGAAAGTGGATCACAAAACAGATTCAGTTTTCTGCATTTTAGTTCAGGATTTTTAAGCAACAGGTTTTAAGAACCATGCAGATGGAAACAGTTTAGTAAAACCTGAGTCTTCTTGGTTGTTTTGTGGGTTTTTTGTTTGTTTAGTTAGAGTTTCTAATCTGTTTTTTCATTCTAAACCTTTTTTCAAACTCTGTGGATTGTTTTTCACTTACTGAACATTAAGCTGGCTGGAAAGGCACTTTAATTTGAGAATGTTGCTATTTTCAGAAGAATATCTTTTTCAGTGTTAGAGATTGATACATAAAGACTCTAGCTGTAACAGGAGTTGGTGTGTTTTTTAGCATTAAAAGAAGTTCCGAAATGATAAATATAAAACACTTGAACGATTTAAAATAAAACCTAAAAGCGTAGGTTTGCACTGTTTTCGAAGCAGGAGTCGAAATTCGAAAGAGCGAGCCTAATTTTGAACGGAATTAGGAAGACTGCGGTAGTTTGATGAGAATTCCGACCGACACCTGGACCTGGTAATGCAGCACCTGGAGTGGCGGCGGACAGCGTGGAGATCTGATCTCCGGGAAGGTAGAGGAGTAAAACAGAATCTCCCGCTTTTCGGGTGCCCCGCTGGCAGCGGCAACATAAACATCTTTTCCGCCAATATCTGCAACGGTGGTGGCCGTGCCCGCTGCATCTGCCCCGCGGGGCAGCGCCCGCCCTGGCTGCGCGGGGATCCCGCCGCGCCTCAACAAAATCTACAGCCAGCGGCACGGCGGCGGCCCCGCCGGGGTGGGAACCAGCGCGGCGACCGCTGCTCCGCCCGCTGGCAGGGGGAGCGCCGAGGGGATGCGTCGTCCACCTGGGGAGAGCGGTTCCCTTTGCCCCGTCCAGGTGGCTGCGGGGCAGAGCCCCAGGAGCGCTGTCCTGCCCCGCCGGGGTGGCACGGCGCCGGGCAGCAGTCCCTCGCAGCCGGGCCCCGAGGTGCCCCCGCGCTGGCGGTCGGCACCGTGGTTGCCCCGAGGGAGCTCCTGCCCGGCGCTCGGGCAGCCCGCGCTGTGCCCCCGCGTCCCCTCCGCAGGCCGTGGACGCCCGCCACCCGACGGCTGCCGCCGGGCGAGGGGAGGCGACGGCCGGGCACCGCAGCTCCCGCCCAGGGGGCGCCGCCGCTTCGGGGTGAGGGCAGGGGCGCCAAGCAAGGGCTGCACCGGCTGCCCGGGTGATGAACGATGATGGCCGGTTCCCGGCGCTGACAGTGCCGGGGGCACGGCTGTCCCGGGAGGGGAGCTCGGCGGCGGGGTGTGCGCAGCCCTGGGGCTCCGGTCGTGCCGATGGGCGGCGCGGGGCGGCGGCTCTACGACGGCCGCGGTCCCGCTCGGCCCGGCCCGACGGGAGCGCCCGGCAGGGCTCAGGGGAGCCCCATATTAAACTGGCGATGCTGGCCACCCTTTCCTGCTGCTGGAGATTAATCCCGGTGGGCTCGGACCTCTCCTCCCGCTTCTCAGCAACTGACGACCAGGATAGAGAGAATTTAGGGCGAAAACGAAATACAAGCGGCGGGGGCTTTGAGCGCTGTCATCGGCCCCGCTCCAATCCGAGCCCGCCTTTGGGCTTCCCTTGGCCGGGCGTTCGGCCGGCGGCTGCCCCGCTGAGGGCCGCCGTGGCGCGGACCGCCGAGGCACCGGGACGGGCGGGCTGAGGCCAGATGCCGGGGTGAGGCGGCGGGGAGGGACCCCGAATGCCCAGGGACCCGAACACGGGGTCGAGGTGCCGGGTGGCCAGCGCGACAGGCTGCACTGGCGAGCGACGGTGCCTGTGCTTGAGGAGCAAGGCCGGTGGCAGCCGCGGGGCCACACTGCACCTGCGAGCAGGATCTGAGGCAACCTCCGGGGAGCCGGAGGGCTGGGGTTGAGAGGTGGGTGGCCGTCAGTGTGCCAGGTGGTGGGAAAGACAGGGGAGAGCCAAAGCAAACACGTGTGATGCTGAGCGTCGGGGAGGGTCTGCGCATCTTCGCGTGGAAATGGTGTTGGATGCCCCACAGAAACGGAGGGACAGCTTTCTGGTGTCTCCGGCCCAGGAAGCAGGGCGTCTGCCTTTTGATCTCAGCAGCTGAAAATGTATGTTTAAAATAATGACACCGCATAGGGAGGATCTTTTCCTTGTGTTTCTCCCCCCTTTCCCTTTAGGTAACCGCTGTGCTGTAGCTCCCGTGTGCGCACCTAGCAGTGAGAGGAAGGGAGGGAGGGAGCCTGGGAAGCGCTGGCTCCGCCAGTGGGCGTTTTCTGGCGGCCGGGGCTGGTGTGGAAGCGGCACTGCAGTGACTTGTATCTGCCTCTTTGCAGGCGAGCGCGCACATACGGGGCAATATTTGCCTCGCTCGAAGAAAATTCAGATCGTTGCCGTTTTCTTGCTTTGACTGCGAGGTGGGAGCATGGGGAAAAGCGGACTTTAAAGGGGATTTAAACCGCTTGGCGGTCAGTAGCGCCCTGTCCCCTCTGGCCTAAAGGGGGAACGGAAATGTGAGGATTTTATGAGGGCGGGGAGCCGGGGTGCGGAGGAAATACTGTCCGGGAGTTGCCGGAGGGAGCGGAGGACCGATCCGCGGTTACCCCTTGTTTGGCTCCGTCCTTTTTCGGCGTCCCCTTTCGCTTTACTCCCGTATCTCTGCTAGACGTCCTGCCTTAAACTGCCGCGAAAGGGAGGGAAGAGCGGAAGCATGTCCAACCCGGAGAAGCGGATCTTATCCCGCCCCTCGGCCCCCCTAGCTGCAGCGCCCGGGGAAAAGCCCGGCTCCGGCAGCCGCCCGCTCCACTCCCATGGCCAGAGCGGTGGAGGTGGAGGCAGCGGCGGGTCTCCTCCTCCCCTCCCAGCTCCTGGAGGCGACTCGGCTGCCTGCAGCTCCCTCTCTCTCCTCCTAACAACCACCAGCAGCAGCAGGAGCCGCGCTACAGGCACAGCCTCCTCCGTCAGCATCGTCTCTAGAGCGGCAGCGGTTCCTTTCCTTGTTCCAATCCCCTCCTTCTCCTACGCTTCTCCATCTTCTTTTTATTTCTTGCCGCCGCCTCCTCGTTTCCCCTCCTCATTTTCCTTTAACCTCACAAGTCTCCAAGGGAGGGAAGGAGGAGGAGAGGCAGCGAGAGCGGCAGGAGGAGGAGGAGGTGGAGGAGGAGGAGGAAGAAGAGATGTTGGCGGAGCAGCAGCAGCAGCAGCTCACTTGATCGCCCATCCAGTCGGCAGCGGCAGGAGGAGACTCTTCTATTCTTCCTCCATCCAGGGCTTGCTGCTCCGTTCCGCAGCCGGCGGCCCCCGGCAGCACCACTCCCGGCTCCTCCTCTCCCCAGCCGCCTCTCGCCCGTGGTCCTGCAATTCCCTCGGTGCTGCAGCAGCAGCAGCCCGCGGCGACGGGATCCGAGGAGGCGACGGCCCCGGCGGGAGCAGGACTCCTAGGCGGCAGCAGCGGCAGAGAGGCGCCTTCTTCTCCTTCTCGTCTCCCCTGCTCCTAGGGCCAGACATGGAAGATGGATCTAATTCTGCAAGCTGCTTTAGGAGGTTTACGGACTGTTTCTTGAATACAAGTAGGTACCGGAGCGCTGTGCCCGGCGGCGGGTCGCGCGTGTTTCGGGGGAAGGTGAAGGGCTGTGTCTGAGGCTGGGTGCATGCCTTGTGTAAAGGGCATTTCTTTGTGAGTGGGGGGGAGGCGAGGACACAAAGGGGCCGTATACGTGGGGCGTGCGTGGACGCATGGAGGAACGGCCGGGTGTGTATTGAGGATGCACGGACAAAGGGGATGCTGGATGTAACTGAGTGCTCTTTGTGGGAGCTGGCTGTTAACGCTTCGAGGATTTCGGCATCATTCCGGTATCAGACAACTCTACGTGTATGTATGTCAGCCTTTTGCCTGGTACATGCTTAATTCGCTCAGGAATGACACGTAGAGGAATGGAGACTGTCCCCCCTACTTACTTGAACAGGCAATAAGGAAGCATTATGGTATCGGCAATTGACAGAAAAGCGGCAGCGGGGGATCGAAAAGGGTGAAATGGATTGCTTCTTTCTGCATCCCCCGTCAGATCTGCCACGCGCGTTCACATTCCATATTTCTGATTCGGCTTTGGTACCGGGTGCCGCCTTCCCCTGGCCGTGGCTCGTTGTAAGGCGGGCCAGGAGCCCGAGAGGAAACATGTGCTCCTTGCTACGAGGGGCTGGCGCTGGAACGGGGATAGTGACCGCCTGGCGGGGAGGGCGGAATAAAGAGGGGATTGAGGCGCTCCACAAAGGGCTCCCCGCAGCCAGCCGCTCCCAAAGCTGGCTCCCACCGAGCCCGAGCGCGGGGGAAGGGCGCGGGGCCGTGATGGCCCCATGCCGGCAGGCAGGAGCGGGGCCGGAGCTCGGCCTGCTCTCCCCGCAGGGCTCGGCGAGTGCCCTCCCCGTGCTGGCAGGGGGAGCCCGCTGGGAGCGGCCCGAGCCCTGCGGCGGGCTGTGCGAGCGGGGAGGAGGCTTCGCACGGCACAAACTCCCGGTTGGCAGGGACGTGCGGCCCGGCTGTCCCTCGGTGTCTCGCCCTCCCGCCTGCGAGGCTCTTCCCCGGCACGCCGCGCTCCGCCGGGTGCGCGCCCCGGGCTCGTGGTGGCCTCGGAACGGCCGGGGCTTCGGGCTGAAACCGCCCGGGGTCTGCCTGCTCCGGTCCCCCCAGCAGCCCTCCGATCCACCACCCTGCCGGGAAATGTGCCGGGCTTCGGTGTGGTCACGGGACTAAAGAATTTACAAGCGGAGCATATGTCAGGGCTGAAATATATATATATATATATATATAGACACATATGTATATGTATATATGTTTTTGGGTTTTTTTGGTTTTTTTTTTTTTTTTTTTTTTGATAAGGAACTTTTTTTTTTTTTGCTTGTCTGGTATTTTGATGCTTAGGATGGCTTCTATCAGCTGTGGCTATATTTTCTTTTTGTGACAGCTCCTTAGTTGGTGGATCTATGCCTTAAGGTGTCCCTAGACTTGAATTTTAGTCTGTTAGTATACTTTGTTGTAGGTGGCTTTTTGGATACAGGTGAACTGTGAATGGTTCATTGGGGAGATGTGAGAAAAACTACAGAGATGTCCACTGAAACCTCATTATCTGTGTTATTACTTACAGCTGTCTTAAGCACAAGAGCCTGAAAGTGTGGTCGTACTTGTGTTCCAGAGTAGTGGTGAATACAAATAGTTATTATATTTGCTGCACTGTCATTTTTCAACTTTATTCAATAGTTGATTATGGCACAGAGCCACATACTTGTTTAGTCTTGAGACCTGAAGGGAATCCTAAACTCTTCCAGTTTTAATTTTCTTTGTGTTCTAGAGGAGTAGAATGCTGCCAGGAGTGTGGTACAATACTGATGTTTTAAAATAGTGGTCTTGAGAGGAAGGAACTGAACGAGGGAATGTGTATCATGTAGGACAATTCATTCCTATGCTAGACCAGGAAAAAGATGATGTGGAAAACAACAGGTTTGTTCAAAACAGCTTTAGAAGCAGTAGTGAATTCTACTTAAGCTACTTTATGAACTCTTGAACACAAGAAATCTGGTCATCTTTCACTGATTGTGACCTCTGACTGAACATTTTCCGGCAGGAAAGGAGCAGAACTATTCTTTCACCTGTGAGTTTACTGACGTCTAGGATGACATGCAGCCTCTCTCTGTGGAAACACTTTTCCATACTTCGCAGCCCGTGCTCATGAAACTTTCAAGAACTTAAAAGTCTGATATTGTCTGCTCCCCTTTTGAATGTGATTGAAACTGACCAATGGGCTCAGAAGGTATTAGTGAGGTTAGATAGACTGATGGACAGACATTCGCATGCAGTGTGTATGTACGTGTGTGTACCCTTCCCTCCCTCCCTGAGTGATTGCATAAATCTGATTTCCTTAGGAAACCAGGCTGAAAAAAGGAGTGAAGTGAAAAAAGATACTATTCAGTTCCAGTGCAGCTCCTGCAAAGAGCACTTGTCCAACTGTTTGGAGTGCTGTGCACAGTTCTGGTTACAGTACAGCCGGAAGGCTATCATTGTTTTGAAGAGGATGAGATCATGTAAAATAATGAAGATAATATGCTGTGTCTCATACCTTTTGTTTCCTGAATTGCATTTTAAATTCTAAATCATATCTATGTGCATATATATATGCTCTTTGATTTTAAAGACAAAAAAAAGAGCCTAAGTATTTTTGCAGGGAACCTGAGGAGTTCTGTAGGGAAGAGAACTGAGATGAGTCTTCCTGGACAGAAGATTTAAAAGTGGCATAACAGAATCCTCAGGAGTGAAAAACAGTGAAATTGCTATAGATGTATTCCCTCTTTCATCTCAGCTCTTCTGACTTGCATGCTCTGCAGTCAGGATTTTGTTAAAAGGTTATTGTTATTAAAATGTTACATTCTGCAATACTCATTTTGTGCCATATTTGGCTCTTTCTCTTCTGGACTGAAGAAGCTTATATGAACTTTGTGTGGTGTATGTTGTTTTTCTTAGCTGTATCAAGTCTTGGTGCATAACACAGTATTTTAAGAGACTTTTCGTATTGATCATCCTGGATCAATACTCCAGTGGAGTTCTGTAATATTTAGAATACTGCAAGTTGCCAGGTATTTCAGGTTTCTGGGAAATGTCTTTAGGAGAGCATCCCATCTTCCTTCCACATTCCAGGTCTTCTCTCATGGTGCAAGTGTAGCATATGTCATCTGCGTGCCTTGAGTCTACTGGCAGGTATGAGTTCTTTACACTATGCGGGCTTTCTGCTGGTCAGAGAATTATCAGTGTATTTGTATTATATACAGTTACCATTTTTCTGTCTGTTTTGGTCTATACCTTCACATGCTACATGCTAAGACTTTCTGATTAAGCAACACTCTAAGAAAGAATACATGTAAGATATGTTGTTCAGGAATAAAATAGCAATTAAAATTTAAATAATGTCAAAAGTATTCTGGTTACTTAATCTAATGGAAAAGTTAATCTTGTATTTCTTGACTCTTGTTTTTCCAGGTCTGTGTATTTTGGGTTTTTTTTTTTTTTTTTTTTTTTTTTTTTTTTTTTTTTTTGCAGTCAGGGGTGTTCTAAGTTAAATGCTGGTCTTCAGCAATGAATCCCTTGTGTGAAGATGGACAGAATTTGATTTTTCAATTCAATCATGCTTAAAATTTAGAATATATAAGAAATTGTCTCTGGTTTTCACCCCATGGACTCTGACTCCAGGTTAATTGAAAGCAAAATTATCACTAAAATAGGCTATAGTTATGATAAGTGATGTTATTCAACAGCTTCCATCACAACTGGTGTTCCACATTTTGCATTCATGTACGGGAACACCATGTGTCCTGGTCTGCAGCACTGCCATTTTACTTAGTGGGATAACAGAAAAATACATAGGGCAGACAGCAAGGAATGGCACGGAAAGGTCATGAAAACCATGTAAGCACAAGCAGTTGAGAGTAGAGAAAGGCTTTTTTTTTCCAAGTCAGGTATTTTTGCAAATGGTTGTCTGTAAAACATGCAGTTTACTTTTGGAATATCTAATGTTCTGTCCCTTTGACTCCTCAGCTCTGCTGCCTGTGCCTGATGGTTTGGGAGTACCTAGCACTCATAAGCCTGGAAAGAGGAGGTAATGTTAAGTCAGTAACCTTGCTCCTCCTGTGAGATGAGCTGTGGAAGGTGTGATTATGCACAGTGGGATAGTTTAGATGAGCTGAGAGATGGTTTCTTTTTGCCACTTGTGTAAGGAGGATGTCAGCTTATTTAATATTCTAATACAAGGCTGGTAGTTTCATTCACCCCATTTGTGTCGTTTTCCTTTTTGCTCATGTTTAAGCCGCCCTCATCAGCTGGACATGGTGACAACCTGAAGTGTAAAAATGTGTTTCTATTCAA